ATATATGAGACATAATTTCAAATTTACTAAAGTTAACATCCGAATTGACTTTGGTTCTTGCGGACGGAGGAGACAATTCCCACATTTTTTACTTGTTTCATTGGGTTTTGGTTTTTTAGATCAAATGAATACATTAAGGCTGATTTTAAATTTTAGGAAAATAAGGGTACAAACAAAATATTGCTCCTTTTTCTCTGGCTTTAGTTGCTAATTGCTCAAATAAGGTTGATTAGTCAATACTTGAAGTTTGACTGACTCATGAAATGAATTGATCTGAACCGTCCGATTATACTAAACAAATAGATGCCAGCTCATCGTAGGACCTCAGCAAGTTTTTTGGAGTTGATTTATTGAATTTGTGTTTTCTTTCTTATGTTCGGTGTTTGCAACTTGCTTGTCAAGTTAAACCACATCAAACCGGACTATTTTTATATCAAACTGAACCACACAAGTTCCATGATTTATGTCTGAAGCAAAAACTAAAGATTTCAAGTAAAAAGAAGTGGTTTATGTTACGAGTTTGTGGCCATACAAGCTCTGGCACAACCTGGCGTGCAAAGGAGCTGAACTCTTCTCCTGCAATTAGGTCGTTGCCTCTTATATCTAACTGCTTCAGGTTCACCAAATCTCTAACCACCAAATACGCATCCCGGTATTTACTTGGCACCTCTCTTCCAATTTCACCCGAATTAGAGAACGACGAAGAACAAAGGTACCTTGTTGTGTCCACTGGTTGCTCGCCGCCGATGTGGTTATGTGAAACATCCAACACTCTAAGCTGCTTCAGATCTGAGAGAGTCAAGCGCTGAAAAGCTCCTGATTCTGTTGTGACTCAGATTTACGCAACATAGAAGCTGCATCGCCTCCAATCCTACGGACTCTCATATTTAATCAATCACACAGATGCAACAAATGGTATTCAAGACTCAAAAGCGTTAGAAAACACTACATACCTTCAGCTGAATGAAGCTCATTGTGACTGAGATCTAACATTTGGACAAATAGCAACTTCTCGACAGCGGCTATCCGAGATAGTGTTAAGTTATTGAGCCTTAGACATACAATATTGTTCATATTCCTGTACCGAAAGAGGTGTTTGGACAGGGATTCGGTGCTTGAGGTCACCTGTGCATCAACATTCTCTTTATGACTAATAAATAATAGGCATCTTTAAAAACATCTAAAATCAAACAGTGAAAACACTCATACAACTATTTAAATCGGATAAAATATTTAAGAGCAGAAACACAGCTAAAAGGAAGACTAAGTACCTTGTGGAGAAGAGCTACGCTGTGCTCATCCTTGTAGTACTGCTCATGCGAAGAATCAAGGGCCATCAAATCGTTATACAGCTCGAGGATTTCTCTATAATGGACACCTTTAACAGCATCATCCGAGATAATAGTTTCCTCAGCCATCAAAAGCCTTGCAAGAATGAGCTTTCCAACTTTGCTTATAAAGGAAACAAGAACCCAGAAGGTCAAGACAACAATTTCTCTTTTCCATTAAATCTAGAAAGTTTACAGGATTATTTATACCTGTCAGGCAAGTCACGAAATAATTCAATCTCTATATTTATAGCTTTCTTACGCCACTCAAAACCCGTATCAGCGTTTAACTGATCCAAGGCGATAAGAGAATTTAAATCCTTCGACTGTGCATCCCAATTGTCAAAACCACCCGTCCATGAAAGAATGCCTTCTTGTGACTCTCCGACAGTGTCATGAATATGCACTGTAAATACAAACTCATAAGGAGCGCTGAAGTTACATCCCCTGGAAGAAACAATTCCTCGAGACTTCCCAAGGCTAACCTTCACTTTGTTTTCCTTGCGAAAGCAAGGTTCTGTACTGTCAAATTTCAGACAAGCAACCCATACACAAGACACTTGAGAGTTTTTATCCGAAACTGGTTCCCAAACAAGGTCCTCATTTCCTTTTAGTTCAGAATCAATAGTAACAGTAGACGAGCTTACTCCACTGACCGCTTGGAATCAGTGGAAAAAGAACCAGAAGTAGTGAACTTAGAAGAAGAGCCATTGAAGCACCTTGGTCCAGATAGAATGATAACGGAACCATCTGAAGGCCACGAGGAAGTGAGAAGAGGAGTCTCCATTTTAACAGTTTGATCAAAGAGCCAAAGATAATAAAACCAGGCACTTTGGTCATTTTCGTCCGTAAAAATAGCATCATGAACATAATCATATTCACGACGAATCGTTTCCTCTGGCATAAACCCATCAGCCTTTTTGCGAGTAAACTTGAAATAAGTACACTGCAGAAAAAACGGATCATATTTTTAGCTAATAGTGTAACAAAAGCTATAGTGGTATTATCAACCAAACAATAAAAGCAAACTTGATATAGTTGATAAGCAAATTATATATCTCTGACCATCAATCTAGTCAACAAATGCCTCAATTTCTTTAAATATGCATACCTACGATTGTGCCATGCAGAATAATTGCTGAAACTATTATTAATCATATCAGTTGTATACTGCAACTCATCCTGTTCTGACATCTTGGTTAGCTCCACAACAAACCTGGAAAAAAGGAACAAGACAAGATATGAAAATATGCAAAAGCTGAATGACAATGTGGACAGCAGTTCCCTAAATCTCACCTACGATAGTTCCAAGCATGAAAGTTCCTGAGATCGTGCTTTTGAGTTTGATTCAAAAGTTCCAATTCTTTATCCAAGGAGGAATACCCTTTACTCAAGACCCACTTTCAATGATACCAAGCCCTATAGAACTTGGCATTTCGCTCCAGGGCCTTTTCTACCTGAATTAACGAATGAGCAAAATTGACATGAATGGAAATGTGAAGCAACCGATCTAATCTTACACAGCAATCAATGAGTAAATTCCCACTCACGAATTCAAGTTCTTCTTCGAGAATTGAGTTGACCAGGCTTGGATCAGAGTCGTCGATTCGGGAAAGGTTATCCTCGACGGCGAGCTTCCGATAGTTCCAAGCCGTGTAGGCCTCCAGATTGATTTCTAGAAGCTTCACGCTTAATTGAATTGCTTCCTGTGTGTAACTAGAAACCAAAAAGAAGATCAGCAAA